GGGGGGGGGGGGGGGGGCAAAAAAAATCTTGCACGTTCCTGCAATGGCAAATAATGAAAAGGCCTCTGGCATTTCTCAGAGAAAGACCTGAATAGATTTTGCCAGAAAGGTTTGCTGAACGGTGTTATAGTTTTGTAACCCTTCATTTCTGTACACGAGGCCTTGAAACCGTTAAGGTCTTAGGAGAAAGAAGTGAAGAGCTGGGGGGCGGGCGGCTGGCTTGTGAAGCGAGCAGCGGCCAGGCTGCCCAGGACTTTGGCACATCTCCACCCTCTGATGGGGAGGATTTGGTTTCCATAGCAGCAACAGCGTGATTTCGCTCCCGCCCCTTCCTCCCCAGGACTTGTATTCCACAATTGCACGGGAGTTATATTTCACCCCAAGGCTTTCATTTTTCTGCTGCACCGTTTTGCCGTGCTTTGGCAGGTCTGCCTTGTGCCAACGCCGCGTTGGGGAGCGGGAGGGGCGGCCCTGGGGAAGCCGTACAACCATCGCTCTCTCCTCCCTGTCCCTCTTAACATTACTCCACAAAAGACGCAGTGTTCCCTGTCCCCATCTGACTCGTCTTCGCCGAGGTCCCCCCTTTCCTCGCTTGTCTCCAGCAATCAGCTCACGCATGCCTGGCTTTCCATAACAGAGCGGAGCTGTGTGTGAGCGCCAGGCGCCCGCACAAAGCCGCAGCGCTGCCCGCGCAGGAAATGTCAATACAGGAACACCAGGCTATTTACAAAACCCTTCTTTACCCTGTGTCGGGGATGCATGTTGCTGTGAAAACAGTCCTACCTGCATATACTCGCCTTTTTATTTCACCCACGTGAAATGTACGGAGCCTCTTGTTTCTCTTGTTGCAGAGAAGGACTTTTTTTTTTTTTTTTTTTTTTTTTTTTAGCACAAAAGAGAGGAAAACACACTGAGAAATAGGGTGGTGTAACTGCAAATCACACCAGCTATTCTGGGGACTCGTAGGAGGATCTGGAAAGCAAAGCCAATTCATTTTTGCAGCTGATCTGTCTTCAAAACAAGTGCTCCTTTAGTTTTACACATTTGACATTTGTCTGCTTCAGAATCAATGGACCAAAGTCTGTTCTTTTTAATACCATAAAATGTTTTTTCCTTCAGCACCGAGTCCACATAGAGAAGAGGCCAAATTCTCCCTGATTTTGGCAGGTTTCCCGAGATATGGGTGCATGGTATATTGTGCATGTGTGCTGTTGGTACTTGTGCTCTCTGAGACTCCAACCCATGTATCTGGGGCAGATGCACCCCGAGGAGACCTGCTGGCAGGCAGGATGGGGAAACTGGGACTCAGCACCGTGCGGACACAGTCCTCAGCTTTTAGATCACAGCTGGCGCTGGTCCTACCAACACAGAGGCTGCCAGGCTGAGCTCAGGAATATGCTTTTTGGTGCAGGCTAACCATGTAGGGAGCAAAGGATACAGAGCCCAGCACAGCGTGATGCCTCAGCCTCTCATGGAGGTCTCAGCTCATCCACTGGTGGGAAGTGCATGGTTTGGCATCCACCCACGCTCAAATACCCGTCAAGACTATTCCCACTGCTTCTACCAGCTTATTCCAGCACTTCATGCAACTTTTCTCTTCACCTAGGAGAAAGAGAGTTCACTTACTGGCATAAAGATGTTTTTTTCATCACCCAGAGGTGTTATTTATAGTCACTAATGTTTCTAAGCACCTTGAGAGAAATGATTTTATCATTAATTTTAGTAATACCATCGGGCTGATGTAGAAGAGCCCCAAAGGATGCACTCACAAATCAAGACCTCTTTGTGGCAAGTGATGCTGGGATAAATTTGACCACAAAAATCCCATTAATTTCCATATGTCACTGAATTCTCCATTCGTCTTGGAAGAGCCTTTTGCTGGAGCGCAACATCTGTTCTGGCTCAGAAAGATGGTGGTAAACATCACATCTTAATTAAAACTGTGTGTACAGCTGTGGGAGACATACCGGTACCTCCTAGAAAAAAAAGCATCTTAATGTCTTTGCTCACAGGTGCTGACAAGAAATGCCTGTTACTGTCATTGTCTTGGTGAATGCTGAGTCTGTGTTAGTCAGAGTCAAAACAAAGTTCAGAGGAAAGGCAGTAGAAGGACTCTGCCTCCTCTTGGCAGAGTGTTCCTTGGCTGTAGAAAATAACTTTACCCTTTCACAACCAGCTTGGTAAGAAAGCCCCTCTAGACGGCCTTTCAGAGGTAACTGATGTAGGTCACATGTTCAGCATGGTATCTGTTAGGTACTTAAACTCTACCCTTCTTTTCACTACACTGGAAATATCTCTCTAAATATAATGACTTTTTTCAACCATGCACAAATCAGGGTGAACCTTCTATATTAGCTATTACATTCTCAGTCAGGCTCACAAATTGACTGCGATGCAAATATTTCTTAATTACTTTTCTTGCAGACCTGGTAGCAGGACTAACATAGTGATAATTTCATTTGAATATGAATATAACAGTTTCAAGAACCTATTTTCAGCATTCGACCCTCACTTGGGCACTGTGAGTGCCCAAGCCCATCAAAAAGTAGAATTTGATGACAACTCTGTTCTAAACCTTTTTTTTTTTTTTTTTTTTTTTGTCTGAATGAGACTGAAACCAAACTGGAAACTCTTCAGAGTATGCACCAGCTCACTCAAGTTGTTAAAACATCAGTTTTAGTTGAATTGATTCAATAAAAGGA